CTGAAGTGGTCGAGGAACGCTGACGGAAGCCACCGAGCCAAGGCGCGGCTGGTGATCCAAGGGTTTCGCGATCCAGACGCCATCGCGGGAACCCTGGCCAAGTCTTCTCCGACGATGACGAGATTGAGCAGGACGTTCATCGTGCTCCTGAGTCGTATCCATGGTTGGACTCTGTTCACGGCGGACGTGAGCACCGCATTCCTGCAGGGCAAGCGCTCGGACCGTGGCATCTCCGTACTCTTGCCATCCGAGGCCTGCAAGATGCTCGGGTACCAACCTGGAACACGGATGAGGTTGCTCAAGAGCATGTACGGCTTGAGCGACGCGCCGAGACTTTGGTGGGGGGAGGCCACGGACCGCATGATCGGGTGCGGCTTTGTGGTTCACCCGCTGGACCCCTGCCTGTTTCTGAGCTACCAGCTGGACGAGACGAATGTGAAGGTGTTCGACGGCGCTATCGGTCTACATGTGGACGACATGCTAGGAGGCGGCAGCAACAAGGAGGGCCAGGCGTGCTTTTCGGCGCGCGTCCAGGAGCTCAAGAAGGTTTTCAACTTCCGGACGTGGGGGGACACCGGGACTGGCACTTAGAACGTGGCCGGCGACTCGTCCATGGACTTCTGCGGCAACCAGCTCACCAAGGCGACAAACGGAGATTATCAGATGAGCTGCGAGACCTACATCAAGGGGCTCAAGCCGATCACGATGACCAAGAGCAGGGCCAGCGACCACAAGTTGGCCATCACAGAGGGCGAGCGACGACAACTACGAGGACTTATGGGCAGTTTGGCGTGGCCCAGCAACCAGGCGGCACCTCACTTGCAGTGCAGCGTGAGTCTCGGACAAGGTACAATTAACGAGAGCTCCACCGTGCAGGACTTAGTGGAGGCCAACAAGACGCTGAGGTTCGCCAAGGCCAACAGCGACGTGTGCCAGTTGTTCCCCAAGATATGCGACGATCCCAACGAGGTGGCGTTTATTTGTATGACGGACGCAGCATGGGCAGTACGACGTGATGGAAGCTCGCAGGGAGGCTACCTCATCCTGGCAGCGCACAGGAGTGTGCTGAGCGGCGAGACGGTCAAGTACACCGTGGTCGACTGGCGATCGTGGAAACTACCAAGGGTGAGCAGGTCCTCATTGGCGAGTGAAGCCCAAGCTGCAGCAGGAGGAGTGGACGCACTCGAGTATGTGAAGGTGCACTACAGCCTGATGCTCGACCCGACGAGGGACCCGAGGCTCAACGGCGCCATGACGGTGCTGGGCAGGAGTGCATTGGTGGTGGACGCCAAGGCGCTGTACGACGCGGCCCAGAAGCCGCACGTGCACAACTTCGACGACAAGAGGACGGGCATCGAGGTGCAGGTGCTCAAAGAGCGTATGACGGCATGTGCTACGGGCTGGTACTGGGTCAGCTCGGAGCGCCAGTTCGCGGACGGCTTCACCAAGCTGTCGGCGCGGCAACTACTGGCAGACAGGCTGCGCACTGGGACGATAAGCCTGAAGTTCGATGAGAATTTCCAGGCAGCCAAGAAGAAGACCGTCAAGGACCGACAGGAGGAAGCCAAGAGGTTCGCCACACCAAGGCCGAAGATAAGGACAATGACGGCGATGGCGACCATGGCATCCATGACGACAGCAGCCAGCAGCGAGGTGGAGATCTACGACGCAAGGGCGACGGCAGTGATGGAGCTCGAGTGGACCATGTCACCGCAAGTGGTGATCAGGATTTCCCTCGGCACGCTCATCAAAGGAATCGTGACGACCATCCTGATGATCGTGGGCCGCTTCGCAGTATGCTACATGACGTACAACAGGTGGTCCGAGAAGGAGACGAGCGCGACCCATCCAGAGCCAAGCCCCGAGCAGGCAGAAGGAAAGACAAAACACAAACGTGAGCAGAAGGTGAAGATCAGCAATATCAAGTGGAACGTTGGAGTTCAAGGGCCCGTGCACTACTCATCTGTGGGCCAGACCGACGGAGTTTACGGACGTTATGTTCATGCTACGCAGGGTTTCTCCCGAGGCTGGGAAGTGACGAAAGAGATGTTGGAATCCCGTGCAGGCCTGAAGGGCCAAAGTGAGTTAGCCCCGGCAAAACACGTTTTGCATCCTGTTCTTGTCCCTTAGTGTCCTACCTTTCCCCCCCCCCTCGCAATGAAGCTATTCTATGAGAGGTTGATTGCGACGATTGACCGGCGCATTTCTCTCGGGCGTGTGTTTGCAGCAGGCAATGTAACGACGAGCAGCTGCGAAGGATTTTCTTTAATGAGATAAAGGTGAGTGTTTAATCAGTTTTCTTTCCCTTTTTCACCAGTGTGAATTGTACTCCATGCAATGCAGTTGCGAGTGTATTTCAGAGGTTTTCTGACATAAGATGCTAGATACGACCCTCCCCAGCAGGCGTGGCAGAGCATGTGTGCAGCACGCAGTGCAGAGCATCAGTCATGACAGCAAGCACCATTGCCATCTTTAGCTCGAGAGGCCTCTCGGCAGACCAAAAGGTTACCATCACTTCTCCCCGCCCGCAGAGCGAGATCGGGGATAGTGTCGAGGGCGTTTCGGCCGAGGACGGGAAACGGATTTCGAGAGAGAGTTTGACGACTTCGAGAGCGTCGACGAGTTGACAGGTGGTGGTGATGATGCTGGTGATGATGATGATTCTGCTGTTGATGATGATGGCGCCGATGATGCTGTTGATTGTGGTGATGATGCAGTTGATGGTGGCGATGATGTTGTTGATGATGATGCTAGCGGTGAAGATTCCGACGGTGCTGCTGAGGATGATGATGACGATGATGACGAGGATGCCGACCACGGTGATTTATGATGATGCTGTTTGATGGTGCTGCTGACGACCAGTCTTATTTTGACGGTCATGGTGGTCACAATGATGACGAGCATGCGGATGGGAATGATGATGATGATGACGATGATGATGTTGTTGCTGATGCTGCTGATGATGATGATGATGACAACGTTGACGATGATGATGCCGAGGATGCGGATGGGGATGAGTGTAATTATGACGCTGATGATGCTGATGCCGTTGATACTGTTGATGTTGTTGATGATGCGGCTGAGGATGAGGATGGTGGTGATGAGGATGAGGATGAGGATGATGCGAATGATGTTTATGATGCTGCTGATGATGATGATGATTCCGATGACGATGACGATGCTCTTGAGTATGATGACTTTGATGCTGCTGCTGATGATTATGCTGATGACGGTTCTGACGATTATGATGATGATGATGACGACTGTAAAGATGCGTATGATTCTGACGACGCTTGTGATGATGATGTTGCTGCTGCTGCTGATGATGACGATGATGATGCTGATCAGGTTTTTGATGGTGGTGATTAGGATGCTCATGGCGATACCGATAGTGATGCTGATGGTGGTGATGCTGATGCTGCTGATGATGATGATGATGGTGACGATGGTGACGCTCACAAGGACGACGACGTGATGGTGACGACGATACTGCTGCTGTTGATGATGGTGATGGTCATGATGGTGATGATGATGATGACGATGATGATGATGCTGATGATGATGATGATGCTGATTATGATGATGATGATGATTCATAGTATGGTTAAGTTGATGAGGTTGACGATGATGCTGAGTATGATAATAATGACGGTAACGATGACGATGCCGTGACAATGATGAGGACGCTGTTGATGATGCTGGTTGTAACGATGATGACGGTGATCATACTGATGATGCTGCTGACTATTTTGATAATGCTGACGGTGACGATGACGATGGCATCGATGTTGCTGAGGATGATGCTGATGTTTCTGATCATGATGACGGCGATGCCGATGACGGTGATAAATGACGGTGGTTGACGATGACGATGTTGTGATGATGATGACGACGACGATGCCGATGATGGTGATTGATGACGGTGATTGGCGATGACGACGACGTGATGATACTGCTGATAATTCTGATGATGATGATTCTGGTGATGCTGATGCTGGCGATGATGTTGCTGCTGCTGATGAGGGTCACGATGGTGCTGTCTCTGATGATGATGCGGATGATGCTGATGCGGATGATGATGCCAATGACGACGATGGTGATTCCGGTGATGACGCTGCTGCCGCTGACGATCACGACGGTGATGATGGTTGGGATTGGACGAGGGAGGAGGAGGAGGAGGAGGAGGAGGAGGAGGAGGAGGAGG